AAACTGTGACTCTCATCAAGGTAACCACCACTCAGTGAAAACTAGAATTCATCTCAGTGGCATCATTGCACTGACTCTCTTCTCCATTTCCCTTGCTGCAATACTGCATCTCATCTCCAGCAAATTATCCCCAAGTGTGGAGTTGCAGTGGTCGGATCACATGCATATGTTCTCACTCAGAGACCGAATTCCAGGACATTATTGACAGTTTCTCTGAAGCATATGAGAAAATGGGCCTTTCATAAACATCCCAGGAAACTAAGGTCCTTTTGTAACCAGTTCCAAAATCACTCTTCCTGCTGACTAAGATTAACAACGAGATCCTGAGAAATGTGGACCATTTACTGCACCTGAGAGTCCCTCTCAACAAAAGCGGCCATAGCTTACAAAATTTATCATTGCCTCAAATATGCCTCAACCTTCAACCAACTGAGGAAGAGTATTTGAGGACCAGGATATCAAACCTAAGACTAAGGTCATGGTTTACCAGGCAGCAGGGATCCCCATGCTCCCCTATGCAGCAGAGACTTAGACAATTTGCAGTGGGCACCTCAAAACAATGGAGAAGAACCACCACCAGTCCCTTATAAATTACTGAGAATGCAGTGGCAAGAAAGGCAGTCCCACATCAGCACTCTCTTCCAGGCCAGCATGTCCAGTATCAATGCACTAATTACCAAAACAAGCTCTGCTGGGTCAGACATCTCATGGAGACAACAATGATGCTTTAGAGATGTCCTTAAAGTATCCCTGATGTAGTCAAATACTCAGCTGAATCATGGGAGGTCCTAGCTTTTGACCAACTCAAATGTAGAAGGCTTGTTCAGAATGTCAACATCAAAAGACATCGCTGGGGACGTGCAGAGGCAAAGTCATCAGAAGGTTTGCACATGCCTCTAAAAGAACCCAACCACCCAACCCTTCAAGCAGGACTTGCCCCACATGTGGCAGAAATTGCAGATCACAAATTGGACTTTTCAACCACCTTGGAACTCAAACTCTAGAAGAAGCATATCATGCACGATTTCAAAGAACTTCCCAAGGAGACGGAGCAGGCTGAAACATTTGGAGAGGTGGTTTGACATAATACCATTAGACCATAAGAAATATGAACATGAATCGGCCATTTGGTCCCTCGAGCCTGCTTTGCCGTTCAATAGGATCATGGCTGCTCTGACAATCCTCATGTCCATTTTCCCGCCCTTTCCCTAATCTTAGAAATCTCCCAATCTTAGACATCTTAGACATTCAATAAGGAATCCAAAATATTGGAAATATACAGCAAGGAAGTCAGCACCCAAAAAGAGAGGACAGGTTTACATATAGACCTTAAGGGATTACAAAAACTATAATTCTATCTTGTGACAGATTTTTATTGACCTGTTGTGTAGATCCATCTGGGATTCTGAGCTGAAAGCTAAAGCCAAACAAAGGAGTGACAATAATGCAGAAAAGCTGCATATATGCATTATAATGCATATAATTAGACTGTGAATCAATTTACATTATCTTTAATACGGAATTTAAAAATTTAATTGGTGAATTTCTTTATAATTACAAAAAGGTAGTGTGGGCCATTTCTTCCCTTCAAACTTCCTTAATTGATCTTTGACTTCAGTTCCACTTTCCTATCTTAGCCTTAAATACACTCAATGACATAGTAACCATAGGCCTTTGAGGTAGACAATTCCTAAGATTATAACCTTCTCCTCCTCATCTCTGTCCTAAATGATCAACCTCTTCTCCTGACACCATGCCCCCCGTTGTAGATTCTACAGCCAGTGAGAACAAAACTCTCAGCACCTATCCTGTCAATGCCTTCATACATTTCAAAGTACATTTATAATTTCATTGTTTGTGGGGACAGAGAGCTGTACAGACCCTTTCCCAAAGCATTCTTGATGCTTAGAGCCCCAAAGTTTCATTTCAGGTATTTCAAAAGCGTTTTTACTTTTTATATCCAGTATTTACTATTTTCCTCTGTTTACTTGCGCATTTAAAATTCCACTGGCTTAGCTCATTAAACAGAGAAAATCAGAGTTAATGTTTTGGGTCTGATGACCCTTCCGCATGGACCTGAAATGTTAACTCTGATTTTTCTCTTCATAGATGCTGCCAGACCTGCTGAGCTTTTCCAGCAACATCTGTTTTTTTCCTGATTTACAGCATCCGCAGTTCTTTTGGTTTTTAGCTAATTAAACATTTCCTTTTCAAATAAGATCACAAGATGACTTAAAATAGTTTGCATTCATCAATGGTAAGACAGAGGCAAGGCCACAAGGATTTAAAAAACAGCAATACTGTAGATGCTGGAAATCCGAAACACAGCAGAAACTACTTGAAGCACTCAGCAAGTCAGCCAACATCTGTGGAGATAAAAGAAGTTAATATCTCAAGTGCTTTGTCCTTCGATATTTGTTTTGTCTGTGACCTCAACTTCAGTCTTTACACAGATGTAAGGATGCAAGGAATATTGCTCTGAAAACCTTAAACTGAAGCTGAAAGTGTGAATGGTAATAAATGAACATAAGAAATCAGAGCTGGAGTACAGAATTCTGTTCCTCCACCCTGCTCTACCATTCCACACGATAATGGCTGATCCCGACTTTCTTGTCTGCTCCCCATATCTCTTGATTCCCTGAGAGATCAAAACAATCTCTTGATCTCAATCTTTAACATACTCAACAACAGAGCATCCACAATAATTGTGATAGACAATCTCAAAGAATTTAAACAAGATTGACAAACCATTGAAAAAGACAGAAATTCACTTGCAAACCCGGCAATACCTTAGCTTCTCAGCAACCTCTGCCTAACTAGTGGCACATCTTTGCTTACAAAGACACACATACTGTGTCCATAAAACATCTACACTTTGGTAAGTTCAATTAAATAAGCATTGCCCCTTATAATATTAGCTGTGGCTCAGTTAGTAGTTGAAGCATCATGTTGAGATTGTACAGGATGTTACTGAGGCTTCTTCTGGAGAACTGTGTGCAGTTCTGGTCACCCTGTTACAGAAAAGATATTATTAAACTGGAAAGGGTTCAGAAAAGATTTCCCAGGATGTTGCCGGGAATAGAGGGTTTGAGTAATAAAAATAGGCTGGATAGGCTGTGCCTTTTTCAGTGGGAGCAGAGGAGGTTGAGGGGTGACCTTATAGAGGATTAAAATCACGGGGGGCATAGATAAGGTGATTAGAAAATGTCTTTTCCTAAAGGTGGGGAAGTCCAAAAGTGGGGACTTATTTTTAAGGTGAGAGGAGAAAGATTTAATGGTGGCAAGCTTTTTACACAGAAAGTGGTCAGTGTGTGGAATTAACTGCCAGAGGAACTGATGGATGCAGGTACAGTTACAATGTTTAAAAGACATTTTGATAAGTACATGAATAGAAAAGGTTCGGAGGGATATGGGCCAAATGCAGGCGGGTGGGACTAGTTTAGTTTGGGAACATGGTTGGCATGAACTACTTGGACTCAACAGTCTGTTTCCATGTTGTATGACTATGACACTTGTACCATACTTGTCTTTGGAATAATAAGGTTCCAGTCCCATTCCACAGCTTGAGCGCTAAAACCAAGGCTGACACTGAGGCAACATTATGCTGTGGCTTGGACATGATATTACACTAAGGTCCACATTTGCCTCTCTTTAAGGAGAGATCTAAATGTGTAGGAGGCAGTTAAACAACATTTCCTAGATTGATACCTAGATGACCAGGTTGCCTTATTAGGAAAGGTTGGACAGAATAGACTTGTTTTCACTGGAGTTTAGAAGATTGAGAGGTGACTTGATTGAGGTGGCTAGGATCCTGAGTGGTTTTAACAAGGTGGACATGGAAATTATGTTTCCTCTTGAGGGTGAGTCTAGAATTAAAAGGCAATACTTAAAAATAATGGATTGTCCTTTTAAGGACAGAGATGAAAATTCTTTTTGCTCAGAGGGTTGTGCAACTTTGGAACTCTCTGCCTCAGAAAGCAGTGGAGATGGGGTCATTGTATGTTTTTGGGGAGAAGATATATTTTTCTTAGGAAATGGAATCAATGGCTGTCAGGAGTGGATGAAATTGTAGATTTTTGAAACACAAACAAATCAGGCACATTCTTACTGAATGGCAGAGCAGACTTGAGGAATTGAACATTCTACTTCCGCTCCTTACATGTCCACTTGTTTGAATCTATACAAGATCCAATTACACTATTTTATGTAAGTGTGGGGAAGTTGTCCGCAGCGTTCCCCAATATTTATTCCTCAATCTACATCTTAGAAAGAACACATTATTTAGTTATTACCACAGTGCTATTTGTGGGAGCTACCACTGTATCTTCTACATGACAACGTTTACTACATTCCACTGGTTGTAAAGCAGTTTAAAATACTATACAAATGCATAGATATGAATAAAATATACACACTTCAATCTGAAAAGCATCCATGAAATCGTTAAATTCCGTAGCTGAATTTCCATGTACTATTGTACTATTTCCATGTACTACCATGTACTATGTTCGGCAGTCTAGTATTAACTGAACATATAGTGGTTGAAGTGGATATCGCAGATGTACTGAAGGGGATGCTAGATTAGCATGAGGGAGAAAGAAATAAAAAATTATGTCAAGACAGACAGATAAATTAAACAGAATGGGAGGAGGTTGCTGTAGGCCATAAACACATTAGGCCAAAAGGCTTTCTTCTGTGTTGTTAAATTTTATGTAGTCCAATGTTATTTTGGATTTATTAGTTTTTCTGCACCTTTTTCACTCTTGAGAACTGGCTGCACTGTTCACATCACTGCCAGTCTGTGCGGCTCTTATAAGGCTAACTTTGCTTAACCTTGTCAGCTGTTTCAATGTAATGTTTAACTTTCTGGGCAATTAACAATCCATTCTCAAACCCAGGCGTCTCAGCTCTGAAATATGTTAAAAGGAGATTTTAATGTGTCCCTATGCATCCCCCTCTCTCTGAGCCTCAATTCAGAGAGTCAGCACAGTTGACCTTACCGGCCATCTCCATTGATTTCGAATTTCTTTGCCAGCATCTCACATTCATATTCATTCAAATTCATACACAATTCAGTCAAGATATCTTTAAACTCTTCTTTGCTGACAAAGCCAGTGCTGTAAGGGTCAAGCTCCTGAAATTCTTTTCTAAGATCATCCCACAAGTAGTCCACCTGCAAGTTGCAAAAGTTAAATCAACAATGTCAACTCGGCTTAGCAACATTGCATTATGTACAAGTATTTATAAACCCTTTTGCAAATTTAAACTTTGGATGTTCACATGCTACAAACAAACTGTAAGCAGCATATGCAAGCAAGATAAGTTTTGATGTAAAACAGCCCAAATTTCAAGATTTCAACATAGAGTCATACAGCACGGAAACAGACCCTTCAGTCCAACCAGTCCATGCTGGACATACTCCCAAACTAAATAGTCCTACCTGACTGCTCCTGGCACGTACCCCTCCAAACCTTTCCTAATCATGTACTTATCCAAATGTCTTTTAAACGTTGTAAATGTATCCACATCCACACTTCCTCAGGAAGTTCACTTCACATGCAAACCAGCCTCTGAGTAAAACGTTTGCTCCTCATGTCTCCTCTCACCTTAAAAATGTGTCCCCTAGTCTTGCAATCCCCCATCCTAGGGAAAAGACAACTACCCTTAACCCAATCTGTAACCCTCATTATTTTATAAACCTCTATAAGGTTGCCTCTCAACTTCCTACGCTCCAGTGAAAAAAATCCCAGCCTATCTAGCCTTTCCTCTTATGTCAAGCCTTCCATACCCAGCAACAGCCTGGTAAATCTCTTCTGAACTGTCTCCAACTTAATAATATTCTTCCTATAACTGGGCGACCAGAATTGGACACAGTATTCCAGAAGAGGCCTCACCAATGTCCTGTTTAACCTCAACATGACTTCCCAACTCCTATACTCAAAAGGAATGAGCAATGAAGGCAAGCAATGATCTCTATCTTGGAATCAGCAATTCCATCAGTTCACCTTTTCTCCCACTCTCATCATTTTCAATCAGCTAAACATCACAGCATGAGCATTCAAAGTCCTTGGTGAATTATGCTGTTGTACTATATGTTAGAACATAAGAACATAAGAACTAGGAGCAGGAGTAGGCCGTCCGGCCCTTCGAGCCTGCTCCGCCATTCAATAAGATCATGGCCGATCTTTTCGTGGACTCAGATCCACTTACCCGCGTTCTCACCGTATCCCTTAATTCCTTTATTGTTCAAAAAAAATCTACCTTATCTTTAAAAACGTTTACTGAAGTAGCGTCAACTACTTCACTGGGCAAGGAATTCCTTAAATTAACAACCCTCTGGGTGAAGAAGTTCCTTCTCAATTCAGTCCTAAATCTGCTCCCTCTAATCTTGAGGCTATGCCCTTTTGTCCTAGCTTCACCTACCAGTGGAAACATCCTCTCTACTTCTATCTTACCTATTCCCTTCATAATTTTATATGTTTCTATAAGATCCCCCCTCAATCTTCTGAAATCTGTTATTTACAGATTAGATGTGCAGATGATAGAAACAAAGTTATTAAAGTTTAAAGTTGCACAGGAGCTTTAAGTACCCAATTAATCTGGATTTTAAAAAAGGGAGGAGCATGCAACTGAATCAAAAGCTGAGATTCTCACTTTGGCACGAACACTGTCCACCAGGATGTCAGATGCACAGTTGAGGTTTTTTGAGCACATTCGAAAGTCGCAGTCTCCTTTTCTCGGAGGGCTGATTTTGGCATTGGGGAAACAGGCAGATTTAGGAGAGTGACCAAAATGCCTCACAAACTCCAGGAAGTCCAATGTCTTATCCTGGTTGGTGATCAGCGTTTGCCAAAGCCTCCGAATCTCACCACGAGTTACTTCTGGGCAAATGTCAAACCTGGTAGGGAATAGGAGTGAAAATATACTGAGGCAGGGTCGACACCTTTAGAAATAAAGCTGCAACATTATTTTAAATGGAGGCATGTGGCCAGCGAACATCTCTAAAATGCTCTGCCTGCCTTTTGAATGTCACCCTATTAACATAGTGGAGTGTGATACATCCATTTCTACAGCTCTAATCCCAATTCACATGCATTCCAAGTTACCGTTTCAGAAGTTGGTACATAGTTTCATGGTTCAGCCGCCTTGAATTAATTTCATCCAACTCTTCAAATTCTCTTTCAACCTCTTGGTACTGGTTACATAACAGTGTTTTAATAATCTGGAAGAGCTGTACAGAGCAAAGAGAAAAATAAAAGAGCTAAGCCATTAGGTTAAACAATATACTTTGCAAAATATCATTCTGTGAAAAGTGCCTGGGTAAATGCAGTCCTGTCCTGTATTTGTAAACAGGATATACATAAGGTTTTGCAACATATTTGGGGTTTTATTCTCAAATGTGTGGCATACTTTGAATCCGCCAATGTTTATCACTTAACTGTCAGGTAATACCCTATTGATAATTTTGAGGCCTCATTATGCATTCTATTTATTGTACTAATATTTGAACAGGGATAGCGATCTCGGTTAACTAGTTAGCACTTCAAGCATTCATATGTTTTCATTTTTGAAACAGGTGAGAAAATCTTAACAAAGATTGATATATAAATAATATTCTAACTGTACGGGCAGGATCTTACCTTCTAAGAGCTGTGACCATTTCCCGATCTCAAAGCCTCGGTGAGGTGCTGTCTGCTTTTGGAATCAGTCAATGGACAGATTGACCATTCTTAATTTGAATGGGGCTGCTGGAAGCAATGGGAACACTCAGGGCAGATTGCCTGTGCCACCAGGAGAGGTGGTCATTGCTGTCGGGGAATGACTGTGAGGGGGCCTCAAGATGGAAGTGTCCTCTGAACATGACTGTGGTCAGCTACAAGACCATCATGAAGGATGGTGGGCATTTCCACTGGATGTACAGCAGCCGCCACTGCAGTCATCTGCGCCATGTCTCCAGGATAAAGGAAATTAAAAGTGGGGGGAGTGATATTCTAGTCCTCCGACCATCTGCCAAGGCCGCCTCCAGCCATCTACTGGGTTTTGACCTCAACAAGCAAACTGTTCAACACTGGCAGTGTGACCAAATTGCTCTCCATGCATTTCATTTCTAATAATCAACAACCTCCACTGCTGGACACAACCATTGCCAGTACCATCCTGGCACAGCTAAAGATGCCCAGAGGCAGCAATGTTGGTTTTAAATGATCTGGCAGCATCGTTCTGAAACTGCTCCCCCTGCATTGATGTGGCTGCCAAGATGTCGCCCTTTAAATTCATCCCCCATATGAAATGACATTAAAACTATACCTGATCTGGAGTTCTACCACTTCTCCTGTCTTCATCCAGCTGGTTGGATGACACTTTCTCATGAAATCCTTTAGGCCTTGATATCTTCTCGTCAAAAATGCTAGAAACTCCTTTCCTGTCCAAAGTGGATGTATTAACTATTATTCACAACTGCAAAAAACACACACAGAATCTTCCATTGTCTCTGGCTAATGGTATCCAGAGACCTAGATCAGGAACATCCTTATTTATAAATGTATTACTCAGTATAGGCCACAATTAGTTTTCACACAACATTAGGAAAAGCTGAAAAGGAATAGACTTCATAGTTAGAACAAGACCAGAGATGAAGGTGCATGTCAGCTCAGTTGGATGTACAACTAGTTTGCAATGTAGGGTGACACCAACAGTGCAGGTGCAATTCCCACACCAGCTGAGATTGCCATGAAGGTCTCTCCTTCTCAATCTCTTCCCTTACCTGAGGTGTAGTGACCCTCTGGTTAAACCTGCCATTGCTCATCTCTCTCTAACAGAGCAGCCTTACTGTGTGATAGGATTATGGTGATTTTGCCTTCAGATAGATGAGGATAACTGGAATTATGCCGAGGGTAGGTTGTTGTTCTTAAGGTACAAGGCTTACAAAATGAAGCTGGAGCTGTGTGGAGAGGGATGGGGGTAAGCTGGAAGATAAGATATAGAGAAAGTAGGTACACTTAAAGGAAGGCAGCAAGGAAAGTTTGGAGTGTGGGAGGAGACGGTAGAGCAGGATTAGAAGGTAAGGTGCAAAAGGAAGGACAAAGTAGCAGTGGATGAGGAAGAAGTTTAGAAAAGTTTAAGGGAGGTTACATCTTGATAGACTGGCGAGGGGTTAGCCATTGTACATGGTTAGCAGTGGGTTCTGGTTGAACAGGAATGGGAGAAGCAACTGCACTGCTGCAACCAGCCAGAACAAGTGAATGCCAATCAGACCTGAGGAGAAGAAAGGAGGCAGGTGAGTTGAGGTGGATGGAGCAGGCAATAAGAGGAAGCAGCAAGGCAAACTGGGATTAATTAATGTAGGATTAATGCAGAGAGGAAGAGGAGAGAATGGGAGGAAAGTGGAAAGGAGACAGGGAAGGAGCATAAGTCAGTTAAGGGAGGAAAGGAGTGGGAGCAGGTGAGCAGTGCTGGAAATGGGATGCCGGGGCTACTGAGAAGCAATGTGGGGAGAGGAGGTGGAGCCTGGTTAGGAATATGGTATTTTCAGTTTTGGTTGCATGACTTTCGGCATCTAACAGCCCAAGCCAATGGTCATTCCATACATCCATTCATGCAGAATACTGCTTTTCAGCACCAATTGGAAATTAGTCACACTTACTCAACTGGTCGATTCTTGACTGTAACTCAAATATTGTGTTTTACCATATAAAAGATATAATTTCAACCAACTATGATTGCCTTCTTTTTGTTGCTCACAAGTAACTAGCAGATGACCTCTAGTTCCCTGTATTTCCAAGAAAATCTAAAAAGATTGGCAACCCCACTGGACAGAAAAGTCAAGTGGAGAGAGCCGAAACAGCAGAAAGCCCAGAAAATTATATTAAATAAAAATATGGCCTCCGACATTAAATGGACTGCAAACAACTGTCAAGAGTTTAAGAAAGCATATCAGCTTGGTGAAATAGCCCTTTTCCATTTTCATGTTGTAATTTTGATATAATTCTGTTTAATAGTAAAAGGACTACATAAGAAAAATATTGACTCTTCAGGAGTTAAAAAGAACTTAAACAGCAATGAAGTTGATGGTTAAATAACAATAGTAAACAGATTTTTTTTCTTCTTATTGATTCATAGGATATGAGTGTCTCTCACTGGGCTGCATTTATTGCCAGTCCCTAATTATCCAGAAGGCAGATAAGAGTTAACCACATTAGTAACCCTGTAACCACTGAACCAGCTGTTTAATTCCAGATCTTTGTTGAATTCAAATTACATCATCTACCATTGTTGGGGGATTTGAGCTCAGGCCCTCAAGACCATCAACCTGGAATTCTGGATTACTAGCCCAGTGACATTATCACTATACGATGGTCTCCCCTGAAATGATTGATTAGATAACATGTCAGTCACGAAAGAAGCAAATGTAACGATTGTTCATTAAGGTCACATTTATTGACTAATCCTAATTACCTTAAAAGGTGTTGAGTCTTTTCTTTGAATCATTGCAGCCCCTGTGTTTACAATCCTTCCATCGTGGTGATAGATTTTCACCCAACAATAATAATGGAATTGTGGTACATGTCAAGTCGGAATGTACGTTATTTAGAGAACAATTATGTGGTGATAGAGTTCCCTCAGTAATGCTGATCTTGCCTCCCTCAGAAATTGTAACCCTCCAGAAATACACACCCTTACAAAACATCGCTTCGCTTATCCTAACTTGTACCAAGTCCTGTTTACTCACCATCACTTACTGACCTCAATGCCTTAATTCTCAACATTATTTTTGAATTCTTCCATGGCCTCACCATTTCCTAACACTGTCACTTCATTCAGCAAGGCAACCCTCTGAGGTATCAGCACTTTAATTCTGGACTCCTCTTGGCCTCTGATTTTAGTTACTCCATGATCAGTAGCAGTGCCTTTATCTGGCGAAGTTACAAGTTCTGGAGTTCCCTCCTTAAACTGCTCCCTACTTCTCTACTTCTCTTTCATCCTTAAAACTTCCCCTTTACTTGCTTTAATATCCCCTAGTGCCTTGGTATTAATGTTTGTTTAATAACAAAAGTAACAGCTTTGGGATGTTGTACTATGCTAAAGGTGCTATGTAAATGCATGTTGTTGCTGTCACAGGGCTAGGTCATATTACTGAAGCAATTTCATACATCTGAGCAGAACTTTGCTCTCAGCTATAATTTCTAAATGCATAGCGATCCAGTGGAGAAATATCTGCTATTCAACATTAAAATAACTTGGTGTAAATTTGCAAGTATGTCAAAGGACCTTGTCCCACTGATCACATTTAATCAAGGTTGGGCAATGCACTGGATTGATACTGAATTTAGCATCAAGCCAAAATGATATGAAACAATCTGCTGTGAAGTTTCTTGGACCATTGAAGTCGGAGCTTGATTAAAGCCTGACTTTGAATTGCACTGTCAGTTGGTTGCATCACAATCATAGCAGGGACACCATTAATATGGTATACTTACCTTTAAATAGGAAAAGCAATTGTTAACATGTCATCCTGCCACTCAGAGATACAGAACTAATGGCCATTTTTTGTTTGGTTTCAGTTTGATAAACTTAGTTCACCTCGGAGTAATACAGCACAGAAACAGACCCTTCAGTCCAACCAGTCCGTGCTGAACGTAGCCCCAAACTAAACTAGTCCCACCTATCTGCTCCTGGCCCATATCCCTCCAAACCTTTCCTATTCATATATCCAGCCAAATGTCTTTTACACATTGTAATTCTATCCCCATCCACTACTTCATCAGGAAGTTCATTCCACAACCACCCTCTGTGTAAAAAATTTGCTTCATGTCTTTTTTAAATCTCTCTCCTCTCACCTTAAAAATGTGCCCCTACAGATGTGAATTTACAGAGAAATTGTTGCATCTGATATGGTTGAGAAGTGGTTAAAACACTAATTAACAGGGGCCCTAAACAAAAAGAAGAGGATGGAGCAAATTAATTTGAAGTGCATTTCATCTTCTTCCATCTTTCAACCTGAATCAAACTTTTGACCATCACCAAATTTCTACTCAAGTTCAACCTTTCTTAATTAATTGTCATGTGACTTAGTAAAAGAAGCCTTTCTCAACAACATAGCACTGTTCTGCCATCATTGTCTGCCACTAAGAAATGTCCATTTAACTGGAATGGGCAGCACCTACAATACAAACAGCCCCAGATCCATTCATCTCTCAGGTTCAACTAAGGACAATGTTGATACTCAGAGGAAAGTGACCTTAGTAGGCATGTGCATTGAAAGTAGTCTGGTCCATAGTAACAGGGGAATCTATTCATTAACATGGCATTGAAAGGGTCTGCACATAAAGGTTATCAGAAAAGCAAGGCATGAGGCGATGGAAGCCTGGTTGCTGATAGAGTCGCCATATCGTGGTGTTTGAAAAGGACTGGCAGTTCAACACATCCAACACCTGACAAACTTGACACCAGTCAACCCTACAAGTTCTTATGAATGGAAAAAACAAAAGACAAGACTAAATGAGTTTTTCTTGCGCTTGGGTGAACGGTGTGGCTGCTTTTGGGAGGCTGTTAGCTGCTAACGTGGAGGCTTTTGTGCACAAGTAATGACAGACACTTTCCATCTATTTGAACAGGAGGACCACTCGGAGTCTCCACGAGAGACACGGTTACTGGGGCGACCCGGGGTCAGACGGAATTAACCAAGCGAAAACAATACGAAAATTAGCCTGACACTTAGCAAGTAACTGAAGACTTTATCGAAATAATTACCAGTGGCAAAATTGCTTCAGAATACCAAACCACAATTGCAAGGGCACAGGGCGATCACGATTAAATGATTCGTTCTTTGTTAATTTATTAATATATTTTTTCCTCGATGGACAGCTCGGTGACCGAGTAAAGTGGATGCAAAGATGCAGGTGTTGGGGGGAAAAACATACAACACATTTTCGCAGGGGTAAAGCTGGAATGTTGGGTCCATTTGCTCCATTCTGTGTGAGTCAAGCTTAGATCCTGCTCGAGAGAGAAAAATAAACGGGAATAAAAGAAATGTGTGCCTTAAGATAAACCAACCACAGAAAAAACCTGGCAAGAATACTCTGAGTCGCGTTTTAGCATTCAGCGAGGAAATTCAGGAGACTATCTGAGATGTGACAAGTTAGCAAATGAATGCTAATAGTAAAATGTGGGCACACCGTGAAATATTGGAATAAAGTTCAGCCTGGAACAGCAGCGTAAAGCAAACAGTTGTTTCTACAATCACGGTCCATTTTTAACCGCTTCGTCCCTTCTCGTTGCCGAAGCTAAACAAAGCTGGTGTGGACACTGTTTTATAGAGTTTTCTGCAGGGCTTGTTTCGAGACAAAACTACGTGTTGTTTGTGAAATCAGGCAGCCTAACGATGTACATTGTTCACATAGAGCCATTAGCATTCATTTGAGACCATTTCTGTCTCCTTCTGCTGTTAAAGGGGGTTAGTTTAACATGATTCACATGTGGTGTGCAAATAACCAGGGGAGGGGGCAAACCGACCAAGCGGGTCCAGAACCGGAAGACCCGGATCGGTAGTGAAGAAGTAATAAGGGGTGGAAAATCTCAGCCTATGTTTCCCTCTGAAAGATTGCTGACCCGAAGCTCCCAGCCACAGTGGGGACTCCGTGTAAGACACGACCTCAGGCAGAAAGGGAAAAGAGTAAAAACACAGCCCAACGTGGCTCAGGGAGGCTAATAGTTGGGGGGAAAAAAATCACACAGAGTTGAAGGGAAACAGAAAGATGGAAGAAAAATGTACATATATGTGGAAAAAGAGAGACAAAAAAAAATCTTTAGACAGAGATAAACCAGTCACCGTCCGAGCACTGATGGGGATGTTGGAGAGATGGGATGAATGGAAGATATTGGCAGGGATCGGGGAGGTGGTGGGGGGTGGGAGGAGGGCGCTGTGGATGAATGTGGAAGTGTAGAATTTATGTTTCTTTTTACTCTGTTTGAGTTGATTGTTGTTTCTGTCTTTTTTTTCTTGAATCGATTTAGGGGGACAGGGAAGTCAGTGTGGGCGGCTCTGAAGAAGCCCCTCTCTACAGCTGTGGCTCAGAGGATTAAGCGGCTTCAGCCACAAGGCAACATCACACAAGTAGCCTTTGAACAAAAGTCATGGATACTATTAATGATATGGTAATCCTTAATCGAGCTACCTCCCAGTAGTGGTTATACTGACATGGGAAGAATATCTAAGTCCTGGAAGCAGCCCGCGACAACACTGTGCTATTGTTTACGCCCAGCCTGACCAGTACTAACTTTTTTTTTTCTAGCGTTTTTAACAGTCACTTTTCCCCCCTTTTAATAAAAAAAATGGAAAAGCAGTGCACTGAATCTAAATCGGGTTGGATTTTGTGCTCGCAGTTCCCACACACGTTTAATATCTACTTAGTGTTCACTGCACCAGCTGTTTACTGGATACTTTTACATGTTAAAAATAAGACCACACAAAGGCAAAGTTTCAGACCTCTGGGAAGATAATTTAACGGTGGAAGACGATTTGAACATTTCTGTATCTCTCCTGTTTTATAGCAGTCATTGCTAACTGACTGTGAATTAAATCTCCTGCTCTGTGTGAATTAATAAGCAGACTATTTGTAAAGAGGCTTGACATGCTGATATTTTTATCATGAAAGTTATTTCTGAAGGGCTGCATATATCTCATGAATAAAATAATGCATTTTACATTTAATAGCAATTATGTGAAGTAAATTCAATTCAATTTTAATTCATTATTGGGGGTGTAGATACTAAATATTCAGAACCCATTTGAGTCACTTTCTTGACAGGAATGAGTCTTTTTTTAAAAGTTCTACCAAAAGCAAGGAACATTGACATTTTATTTGGAGGAACTGTTCTTTAACTACTGCTGACTGGCACACTTTTTTCCTGATACACCCATTATGTTAACAGCAGATATTACGTACTAATGTCATGTGTGGTTGTGTCAGGTTTATTCAATTGAGGTCATCCACAATGAGTAAAGTGAAATAATTAGCCAAAGACTTGTGAATATAATTGTTATGCCTTAAAGAAATGTTCAAATGAATATGAACAAGCTCATATTCTCACTGCTTTAAAAGTCAGTGTGGAGAAACAGAAAGGAATTTGATGCACTTCGAACAGTATTGTAACACTCCAGACAAAGGTTCACTGAATCTTCAGATAAAAGTTGAACAGATTTCAGACATGTAAAGCTACCAAAACAGCATTTTGAGATAAATACATTGTGTCAATTTAAAGACTATTTTGATGCTGACTTAGAGTTTAAAAGACTTTCAGAATCTGCCCCCAAAAGAGTGAAAAATAAAGTCATACCTAGAGTCAAACATGGCCATGAATTGGGGGTACCGGACATTTCCATCTTCATCAAGGGGGATTCTGTCAATGAGCAGCTCAAACTCTTCATCAGTAATCTCCACACCAAACCTGCAAAAAAAAAGAAAACAGCAGTCAAAGAGCAAGTTCACTTTCAGGTCAGCACTACCCACAAAACACTCGGCATATGGCAGCCGTTAACTTTTTGTTACAGAATCTGTCTTCAAGATCAAGAGCACCACATGAATATCAGAGGTTAATCAGGGTTTTGATGGCTCCAGATCTCAGAAAGAAAGAAATTCTACTAGGCAATCCATCCGTAAGTATAGCACATTTGATGGCTGGAGATCCATTTTATGCAGCTGAACAAATCAGATGGGTTTGTAGCTTATGAGGTTATTCATTGCAGTTAACCACTCATACTAACTTAAACAAGTGAACTATGAAAAGGCTTCCAAAAAGATTTTGTCAGCAAGTTAAAACTTAGGAAAGTAACAGAAGCAGTTTGAATACATAAGATATTTACTTGCATTTACATATGGGGATAATTTCACCAGAGTTTTAACACAATAAAATATTCTTACTGAAGGAGAAAATTAGCTACAGCCTTCCTATTCTATAATTGTTAAACAAGAACAGAACATGGTAACCTAGACTAACAAACCTACATTAAGACAACACAATACAGCCAGAATATTTTATTGTTGCATTAGGTGGAAAGACCAGGTACAAAAGCCCAGTAGTTTCAGAAAATCATGACATTTTTAAACTATGTTCTCATAATTTTCATAAAACACCAGACATTTCATTATGGGACATGAATAACTCAAATAGGCATAGCTCCTTTAATAGTGGAACAAAATTACTACATGGTGATATCACTTAAATATATACTATCCAAACTGTTAAGAGCACAGTTTTACAAAAGGCCTTTTCCTTCCCAAAGTTCCTATGAAATCTTATTCCCAAAGGTGTTAAGACCATTTCATTCGGTAACATAATGCTGAGTAGAAGTGTGCAATGAAGGAACTATAGCTCCAGCCTTGTGTGACTGCATTTTAAAAGTATCTAGCAGTACACAAGGACATCTTCCAAAAACTCTATAAACTTGACCTTCAATTTTTCTTTAAAATGCGTGAAAATTAATTAACCCAACTCCACTGAAATTGGGCTAATAGGACTGAGAAATTTGTCTTATTTTTACCCTCTTATTTAAGCATTATTAACCCTCTCATCATAGAAGAGGAAACAATACAAATGTTTTAGAGAGGGTGATAACAAAATAAAACAAGCCAACTGAAAACAAACTGTACTTAGAATAGTAGAATGTTAAACTTGCCCAAATTATTTATATTGCTGTTAATTCCACAATTCAGCTACTTAGTCTGGACTGTTATTCCATTTTAATATTTTTCTACTTCACACATTTAACTCTGTGCCCTAATATTGCGATTGAAGCAACCATTGTGCCATTAATTTCACAATTCTTTTCCTGATATTAATCTTAATTTCTTAGGATTTCTGATATCTTTCTGAATCACTGGCTAGTGGAAATAATATTTACCCTTTCAACTCCTTCATTATCTTAAGTCACTGCTTCCCAATTTTTCCCACAATTTCACAATCCCTCAGTGCCAAGATTGAGGGCTGTGGCAGGAAGTGGCTGGGGGGGTGGGATAGCTGTGGGTCAGGAGACTTGTGGAACCAGGAGGGGGAAGACCTGTGCCACTAAGAGGGAGGAGGCAAAGTTCTTCAAGCTCACAACCCCAAAATTTCAGCCTGTGTCTCCTCTTGGGTTCCAGATCATAATTTGAGAAGCTCTGTCCTACATTCTTCAGTTAGACCCTTGCTTAACTTTGTCAGCTTCACCGAAAATTAAGTTTTTCAATTTCTTCTCCTAACTCACGTGCCTTGTGAAATAATGGAATATTTTTTTCCCGTGACTCCAATGCTCTTTTTAGAATGAGTGAGAAAACAGTATTCCACAATGCCATCTGTAAATTCAACATCATTTCCTTACTTTTATTCAATGGTCCAATGTACAAAACCCAAAATCTCATTTGGCCTTTTTATAGCTTGACTCACTGAAACTTTACTTGAAGATCCATATATCTGCCGATCTGTATTTCTGCATTCCATTGTCATTTTTCCAGTTAGATTATAATTCTATTCTCTGGTCACTTCTTCAGAAAGTAAGCCAATGTGTCCTTATTAAACTGCATTTACTACATACTTGTTTACTACTCTGGTTTCCTGTGGTCTTTATAATAGTCAATCATGTCTATAAAACTCAAAGCAGTGGCATGTCACTGGTTATACCTTAATAATGAATTGATAGAAGTTAAACTGATGCCTGTAAGAATACATTGAATACTTGCTCCATTGGTAGGGAGAACTTTATCCTGCACTTAGCTGTGCTACATCTGACTTGGAAATGTACAGTGGTGATATAGGATTCCTATGGTTTCAGAATTCTCTTGGGACCTCTTTTCTAATGAATGCTGTGCAAAGTAATATGTTAATCTTTTCTGTCAAAAATATGGTGAGGCTAATGGCAATTTTCATTATTTAAGAATACATGCTAAACCTTATGCAGATATAATCAAACTGGTTACATTTACAGATTTTGATTTCATTTCTCATCAAAAAGGTATTGAAGATGACATTCAAAAACCTTGATAGTCACATATATTTAAAAGTTGGACAAATACATCAGTATTTATGGTTTGAGTGTATAGACATTAAGGAAATTAATGTAACTTTGGAACAGCGTGCTATGATTGTCACACAAAACTCAAGTTGGATCAATTTCTAAAATGGTAACTTGGCAAAACATTGGCTCCTAAATCCTGTGGAAGTACAATTCTTAGCAACTGTGCAAAGATTACATACAATGCCAGCACCCACATGACTGGCCCCATCCACCAGCTTAAATTTTCATTCCCTCCCCACTACCAGCTCATACAGACGGCTGTGTGCATAATACATAAAACACACTGCAACAATTCACCAAACCTCCTTCAACAGCAACATGTGACTCCTCCGACCTAGAAAGTCAAAAGCAGCAGATGCAGTGGAACATGACCATGTGCAAGTTTCCCTCCAAGCCACACACCATCCTGATTTAAAACCATATCGCCCTTCTTTACTGTCAATCACTGGATCAATATTCTGAAACTTCTTTCCTAATAGCTGTCTGTGTGTTTTTGAACCAGACGGACTTTAGCAGTTCAAGCATGGCTGGTGAAAGGGTATCAGGTGAGAAACCTGAAAAAACTTGCATCGCCATTCCCTCCCCCACAATTAACTTTCCAAAATCAACATTGTGCAATGATGAATTACAATTTCTGCATTGGTAATCACAAATTTATGTTACACGAAAAAGCAGATTTTTTAAAATACTGTATGTATGCTCCCATTGTTCTACATTTTTCATAGGATTTGGCTAAAAGAAACGTATATTATAATGTGTAATTTGGCTCACGTAATGTATGGCCATGTGTTCCTGCAACAGTTACTGAATGATTTTATGCAGAATTACTAATCATTAAGATAAAGGGGATTATATTATGCTTTTTGATATTATTTACTGTTTCAGAGTTTTAGAATAGCCATGTAGATATGCAAACTTTTAAAACTACTGCATAGAGTAAGGAACAGAGTATGAAATTTTAGGTGAGACTTCAAAGTAAATGCACAGAAATCTATATGTTTGTCATAGTATGTGGAAGCATATTAGTGGGTCTAGACTGCTGAAGCCTGTTTATTTACTAATGCAGTTTCATGAATAGTTCTTTTTTTTTGCTGCCCCATAAAAGTGCCTAGTTTGCCAAGTGGTTGCATTACACTAGCTTCAAGAAGGAAGCTCACCACCAGCTTTACAAAGGCAACTAAGGACTGGCCAGTGATCCTGTCAGACTCTGCTAGCAACACTGCCGCAAAAGGATTTTAAAAAATACAAAACTTAATTGTAGAGTCTACTGAAAGGGTCTCAAGCAAGGGATTCTAAGGGGTAAATCACATTTGGTGTATTCCATCCTGCTGAAGCACCGGAAACAGGTACAGAATCATAGAATCCCAACAGTGGGCCATTCCGCCCATTAAGTCCGCACCGACCCTTCAAAGAGCATCCCACCCAGACCCACACCTCTACCTTTTCCCTGTAACCCTGCATTTCTCATCTAATCCACCTAGCCTGCACACTGCAGGGCACTGGACAATTTAGCACAGCCAATCCACCTAACCTGCTTTGGACTGTGGGAGGAAACCGGAGCACCCAAAGGAAACCCACGCAGACACGAAGAGAAAGTGCAAACTCCTCATGGTTTGCTCAGGGAAGCACCAAAGCTGCTTTCCACCTCAGCAACAGCAAGTGTTGCCCATCTCTTTGTAGCCAGGACCCATAGCATCCTCCGCACCACACACCACCTCCAACCCTGGTCAAAGCCTGTTCCCCTACATTCACCATGACAAAACGATTATAGAATCATAGAATCACGAGAGTGCAGAAAGAGGCTATTTGGCCCACCAAGTCTGCACCAACCCTCTGAAGAGAATCCCTCCGAGATTCACCCCCCACCCTCACTGCATTCCCATTAACCCTGCATGGGATTTTTAACCATAACTATCCCGCCTGAGCTGCACACCCCTGGACACTACAGGGCAATTTTGAGCATGGCCAATCCACCGAACCCGCACATCTTTGAACTTGCAATTTTGCAACACTACTTCAGAAATCAGACATTACCACATTTAAAAACATTCTAATTAAACATAGAAATAGAGGAATAGATGGAGACATAGAAGATAGGAGCAGGAGTAGACCTTTTGACTCCTGAAGCCTGCTCCACTATTCAATATGATCATGGTTGATCATTGAGCTCAATACCCTAATCTGCCCACTCCCTATATTCCTTGATTGTTATAACCATTAGAGCTATATCTACCTCCTTCTTGAAAACACATGTTTTGATCTTAACCACTTTGTGATAGTGAATTCCAGAGGCTTATCACTCTTTGGGTGAAAAAATATTCTCTTCATCTCAAACCTAAAAGGTTTATCCTTTATACTTAAAGCATTACCCTTGGTCCTGGACTCCCCCACCATCAGG